AAACTGATACACTGATTGAAGGCTGCTGCCACACCTGTTACATTGTTTCAGATGCTGCTAGTGCCTGAAGTTCAAGTTGGTAGGTAGTTCCAGTAATTTAGCTCAATATACTTGTCACTGACCTAGAGGATGAAGTGAAGGATAGTGTGAAAGAATCTGCTGATGACTCAAAAGTGTTTAGCTTGCTAAGAGCCAAGGAGGATCTTAAGATGGTTCTAATAAACTGGATGACTGAACAAACGCAAAGACTGATAACATTTTACAGAGAAGGTCAAAAGGTAATAGATATTGAAACAAATAATTTAAGCTCCACATAATTTAAGTTGTGCACACTGATGGACTTAGAATTTATGTTAGTTTCAAAGGAAAAAATACTTTCTGTAGGAATCAAATTAATAAAAACAATTTCCATAAAGCTATCTAATCTGCAATGGTCCAGAAAAGGCCAAGACAGTCTAGAAGTATACCCAGAAAATGCAGGGGAAAATACAAGAAAACGTGCAGTGGATGGGACAGGGTGCCAGCCTAACAAGTTCTCTTCAGCTAATTTGGTCCTGATGTTTTCCTCCAGTTGTCTCCAGCCCTAGGAAATGAATCAAGATCTGTCTAAACCAACCAAAGTATGATTCCCTGGACCAGCGTCAGTGGGATGACCTGGCAGCTTATTAGAAATGCAAATTTACTAGGCTCCATTTTGAATATAGTAAATCAGAAACTTTGGTGCAGGAACACAGCAATTTGTATTTTAATAAGGCCCCCAGGAGATTCCAATTCATGCTGAAGTTTGAGCACCACTGGTCCAAACCCATTATGATAATCCCATTCCACTTTTCCAATGATTATATTAAGGATAAGAGTGAACTCCCTTTAGGCCAATGAGATACAAGTAAAAGTCTGCTGGGGGATTCTAAGCAATATATTTCCTGAAAAGAGGAAAGACCTTTCAGCCTTTGGCCTTAGTTCTGTGAGGATGTGATGTCTGGAGCTGCAGCATCCATCTTGTGGCTATGAGGAGGCACAGTTGAGGACTGCAGGGCAAAATATATTGTTTATGCCATTGAATTGGCCAACCTTCCCACGACTCTATATCCAGGATGTCTTCCTGTGTGAGAAAGTAAACCTCATTTTTGGTCAGAAATGCTATTCCTTGCATCTGAAACCATCCCTCAAAAGCACATCCCTTTCTTCTTCACTGTAGTACAGGGGAAGAAAACCTGAGAAAGTAAAATTTCACAAATAGAAACAAAACAAAGCACAAATCTCATACCTCTCACCTCAACAGGTGATAGCTATATTCCCTAATCTTTAGTTAATATGTTGTATATTCGTTTTTATTCAGCTCAAGAGAAAAAAATATTTTTGGCCCCTTGGCATTCAGAGATCTTAGTTCCCTGAACAGAGACTGAAATTGTGCCCCTGCAGTGGAAGCACAGAGTCTTAACCACTGGACCACCATGTGTATTCCCTTATCTTAAAGCAAGTGTATTATTGAGCCTCTCTGCTCTTATATATTGTATTAATGTAACAAATACTTACTTTCCTCACAGTTTTTGTAAAGTATCTTTAGTAATGAGCTATGTGCAAACATAAAAAACCCCTCTGGCAGTCAGCACACCATCCATCCAGTTCAGGGCTGTATGACCAAAAAGTACATTGGGAAAAAATTTGAAGGTGTGATCGTATTGATCTCAACTTTGAAAAGTTAAAGCCACACACAGTGCACTTTCATTTCCCCAAATCCCATTATGAATGACCATTTGTGAATCGACTCAACTCTCCACATTGTTATTCATATTATGAATTAAGAGATCATGCAGTAGAGGTAAACCTCAACCTTAGAATCACTTTCATGAGAAATAAAATGCCAAGATAGATGCATGGATGGAAACCTACACAGAGAGGAGGCAAAAGGTATTTTTTGTGGATTGTGTCTTCATATCCTGGCAACACACATTGTGTGGGTCTGTCAACAAAGCCACAAGAAAGAGGGCCGAGAGTGGAAGAATCAGCCTGATGAATGCATCTTTTTCTGTGCACCATCCAGCTTAACGTTCGACAAACTTTTTACAATGAAGCCCCTCCAATAACTAACTGCAAACACAGATGGGGTTGTCAGCATGCCCTATAGGTCAGGAAGCTTGGGCTTTGCAGGACTGACAGCAGGAATTGGTCCAAAATCAACTGTTCTCCTCTGAGAATTCCCTGTCAGCTGTTGAAGAAGGCTGGCTCTTTGAGGGCTGAATTCAGTCCTCAAAGAGTGCGGAGAGGAGGGAAGACCTCTCGGAGACAAAAAGCAGACTCCACAGGATTTTAGGGCTTAAGACCAATACCTTCCCCTGCACTCGGAGGCATGAAAGAAGCCAGCACATCTGGAGCCCAGATGTTCCAAGTGAGTCTCCCTCTGAGCAGAGGCTGTCCCAGTCCACCCTGGAGCTCAGAGCTAGTCACCAAAGAAGGTGGCCTTGCCCCACCGTGGAAAGTGGAAGAGCACTCCTGGTTGCAGTCTTTATCCAGGCTGGAGCCTTGAGTTCAAGGTTTCTGTGCCTCTATTTCCTCTCTTGGAAGGCAAGGCTATTCTGGTCTTCTGGTAAAGTGAGGATAAAGTGGGACAAAGGATGGGAAGAGCAATGATTGGCTGGTTTTATATATATATATATATATATATATATATATAAATCCCCCTGGGGGAAACCCTGTTAAGGACCCAGACAAACCTATTTCCCAGACTCTTTTGCAGCTAGGTGGGGGTCATGTGACTCAGTCCTGGCCAATGGGTTGGAGGCAGAAGAGACATGCATCACTTCCATGCTAAGCCCAGAAAACCCACCTCAGCCATCTCCACCATCCTGCTGTCCTGTCTCCTGGTCACATGCAGAGGATCCAATAGATGACCCCAAAGCCAGAGAGCTTTGTGGATGGAACTAAGATTCCTGATCAACTGTGTAGAAGCCTGCCTTCCTAAGTGTCTCAGATTGTGATGGAATGAAAAACAAAACTCTGATTGTGCTAAACCAGCTCAGATTTGTTGCTGCACCAAGCATTATTTATCGGACATAAATGCAGGTTCTGAATGTATCCCCGAGAAAGCAACTGAGAGGGTGACGGAACCCAGGATTGGGGAGGGGAGGCAGAGGCGGCAGATACATTTAGAGGGATGCTCGCAATGTCTAGGTGGCATGTGGTCTCCCACTCACTTAATGATCCTCCCTTATCAAGGCTTTTATGCTCTGGATGAACCTTTGCGAGGCTGCCCCGTTACCTCCAGCCGGCTGTCAGGGTCTATACAGATAGCCAAGGAGTTATATTATTAAACAGACTTCAGGGAGTTCAGGGTCTGAAAGAAATTAGCCTAGGCAAATCGCCACCAAGTAAGTTTGTCTTTTTTTGAAAACAACATTGGCAAACAAACACAAGCCACACTGTTTCTCAAAACCTGTGTCTTCACTGCCATTGAATTCATCCACGGTTGCTTGTTGACAAGTGGAGGGAGGATCGGAGAATGTACATCAGGTTAATATCAATTTTATTTGGCTTAGTAGTTAACCTGCAAGATTTTTTTTGTATATGAGCTCTACAGAATTCTTATTCCAGAGATTGCAATCATTTTAGATAAATACTTTCATGCAAAAGATTCTGCCAGTTATTTTTTAACACATGAATAACCTGATCTGAACAAATTCATTTCTGATGATCAGATATTACCTCACTTTTGGGGGGTATTTTTATTGTGACAAAATATACATAGCACAAATTTATCACTTTAATAATTTTTAAGAGTACAGTTACATGGCATTAATTATATTCACAGCGTTGTAAGCCATTATCACTATATATTTCCCAAACTTTTTCATCATCCCAAACAGAACCTCTCAAAACAATTAAATAATAATTTCCTCTTCCTTCTTCTTTCAGCCCTTCATAAGCTCTAATCTATTTGCTGTCTCTAAGAATTTTCCTGTTCTAGATAGTTAATGTAAGTGGAATTACAAAATACGTGTCCTATTGTGTCTTATTTTATATAGCCTAATATTTTCAAGGTCTATCCATGTTGTATCATGCACCAAAGCTTTCTTTTTTATGGCTGCATAATATTCCATCATAGGCATATATATTATTTACTCATTCATTTGCTGAAGGTCATTAGGTTGCTTCTGCCTTTTGGCTACATTTGTGAGTAATGCTTCTATGAACATGGCTGTATAAGTATCTTTTCCAGTTTCTACTTTTCAATTATTTTGGGGTATATACTGAAGAGTGGAATTGCAAGGTCATACAGTAATTCTACACTTTGCTTTTTGAGAAACTACCAAACTATTTCCCATGGTGAATCTGCAAAATTTAAAAACCCAGATTAAAGAAAAAATGTAGAATAAGGCTCTCATTATCCATGGGGATGCCTGAGTGATGAGAGTGCCAGCTGGCCCTGGAGCCCTCATTAGCACAGAGCATGTATCTCTCAGGTCAGCTGTCTGTGCGCAATCACATTAAAGCCTTCATACCTGAGTGATGCCTATATACAGAGGTAAATTGCCAAGAAGCTGATAAAGCTGAGAGCCCCTCACTTGCAGTGGCTCCTTCCACATTGCTGGGAAGGGCCCTTGCAATGTGGTCATTTTAAAAAATTTTGCTAACAGTAAGATATTTGAACTCAAGTCACTTAAGACCACTGACTCCTTTCACTCCAGCTTCCCCTTGTATTGGGTGGTGTTGGGATGCCCGTGAGCATTTGGAGGAGGTTGGTGATTTACTCTGGAAGCCACTGAAAGAAAAGAATCCCAGTTTTTCAGTCAAGTAAGTCTCCAAATAACTATTGAATGACACTGCAGGAAGCTAGGCTGAGAGCTTAATGTGGTTGAGACCTGGTTCCTGCCCTCTAGGAGCTTCAAACCTTGCCTGCGGTGGGAGGGGAAGCAACACTTAAACACACATTAATATTTACAATAAAAGTCAGAACATGCAAAATGCCATCACAAGGCCTGACGGGTCCAAAGGAGGGAGGGATGACGTGGAAACAGGAGTCAGGAAAGCATTTGTGAGTAGGGTCCATTTGGAATGGGCCTGGAGGGGAATGTTTCCCCCAGCAGAGAGTGGACTAGTGGGAATCAAGGTGTGAAAGGCAGGAGAGCCCAGGCTCTAAAGACATGAAACTGGAAAGGAAATTTGGGACCACATTTTAGAGCAGGGGTCAGCCAATATTTTCTATAAAGAGACAAATGATATTTTAGGTTTTCCAAGCCATGTAGGGTCTGTCACAATGACTCAGCTCTGCCACCATAGCATCAACACAGCTATAAACAGTATGTAAATGAATGGGAGTGACTAGCTGCCAATAAAACTTTATTTACACAAATAGGCAGCAGACCAGAGCACCCAACTAAGGAAACTCGAGACCATGAGAAGCCACTGGAAGTCTGTGAGCAGGAGAATGACATGTAACATGACCAACGGTATGTTTTTGGAAAAGAAATCTGGCTATAGAATAATACTTGAATTGAAGGATGTGGAATTGAGCATGGAAATAACTGTTGAGGCTGTTAAAGTGTTTGGGGGCAGAGACCAGAAATTTTAGGTCATTTAGAGCAGAAAGAGAAGGCTGGCTTGATGGGGCATGGAGTCTTATTGGGGGAGAGAGAAATAAGAGGGAGAGCTGGGTTAAAAGGGGGTCTGGGGGACTGGGATTTAGAGGCTGCAGGGAAAGTTTGTGAGTGATGGGATGAAGGGATTGGGGTTTGGATGTGTTCCTGGTTGGCTGCCACGATGGCTCAGTGGTAAAGAATCCACCTGCAATGCAAGAGACACAGGTTCAATTGCTGGGTGAGGAAGATCCCCTGGAGGAGGAAATGGCAACCCCCTCCAGTATTCTTGCCTGGAAAATCCCAAGGACAGAGGAGCCTGGAGGCCTACGGTCCATGGAGTCACAAAGAATGAGAGTGACTGAGCATGCCTGCCTGCATATGCCCCGGGAAGGTGTCTGCACTCTGGGTGGAGTGGTGGGCAGCTCATGTCAGGTGATTGAGGCTCTTTTATGCTGCCCAAGGCCACGTGGAACACGGTTGCTGTGGGTTCCATCCGGTCTAGCCCCCAGGGCTCCCAGCAGACAACACCTGACTCTCTGTGATTCTGGCCAAACCTGGGCTCCAGGCAAGCGCCGCCTGGGATCCCTGAGCCCTGAGACATCTCGGAGGACAGCCAAGGACAGCCAGGGCAACCCCATCAGGGGCAGGTGGAGGCCGTGCCAAGTGACCCTGGCAGCTGCGTAGGTGGGCTAGATTGCTTCCTAATTACATTGTGCTCAGACAAGACAAAATCGTGTCTCTTAAAAAGCATGTATGTGGAGTCGGGGTGCATCCAGAGAAGGTCAGGCCTCCTGGAAATCAGGAGCAGCCAGTCAGGTTAGAGAGTTCATTTGCATCCTGCTCCGTGTGTGACCCAGTGGCCCATCGGGGACGCATTCTGGAGGAGCAAATGCATTTAAATGGAGCGGGTGATTCTGAAAGAAAATGTGCCATTTCACCGAGAATATCTCATCATTTCTCCCTGGAACTTAATATAATACCCTCCTGGAAAAATCATCTAAAGATTGGGTTTTTGCCCATGTCCTATAGCAAACCCTCTCCCCGCTGCTCTGCGTGCTGAGACAATTTAGTTGAAAAGGAGCCACCTCAGAATTTGCCACATTTCTGTTTGACAAAGAGGCAGTTTACTCACTGGTTACATGCTTTCTTGCTGAGACGTGAACATTAGGTTGGCAGATATTGAAAATGCTATTTTGATACTTAACGCACTTTCTTGGGAATTTATTTTAGAAGCAGAGTAATAAGAGAAATCCTCCTAGCTTAGAAATATAAATATGATGCTACCACTTGGGGTTATTTATTTCCAAGGCAATCAATGAGGAAGCGTTAGGAAATATATTCAGAGTGATTTCAAACCTGATTCCAGTCAAGTGAGTAATCTTTCCATTTTCTTTCCATATGTTACATGATTTAAAAGAAAGAAAAAAGATGAAATGGTAAAGAATTAAAAGGCACTCTGGAACTAAGACCATAAATATGAATATAAGACTGTCCATTTTTTTAAGGAATGAAATGGCTTTAATTATGCTGAAACAAATGTTGATAGTGAAGCTAAATACTGTTAAGCAAAATGATTTTGTACATATATATGCATTCTTTTTATATTCATTTCCATTATGGTTTATCACAGGATATTGAATATAATTTCCTGTGCTATACAGAAGGACCCTGTTGTTTATCCATCCTATATATATTAACTTACATCTGCTAACCCCCATCTCTCACTCTATCTCTCCTCCACCGCCACCCCCTCGGCAACCACAAGCCTGTTCTCTATGTCTGTGATTCTGTTTCTGTTTTATAGATAAGTTCCTTTATGTCATATTTTCGATCCCACATATAAGTGACATCACATGGTATTTGTCTTTCTGACTGATGTCCCTTAGTATGATCATCTCTAGGCCCACCCATGTTGCTGCAAATGGCATTATTTTATTCTTTCTATTCCATTTACACATTTATACAATTCCATTGTATGTATACCACATCTTTATCCATTCATCTACTGATGGACATTTAGGCTGCTTCCATGTAAATAAATTATAAATAAAATACTTACTAAAATAGGCTATTGTAAATAGAACAGGCACAATATTTTGAATACAGCTGGTGGCTCCAGGACTTTGGGAAACTCTTGCAGTTTTTTCCCAAGCTGAAGGGTCAACCAGCTGGGATCTGTGTCTTCAGCCTGGCCACAGGTCTAGATCAGGTCCATCCCCCAGTCATTTCAGTACTTGAGTTTCCATGGTACTTACACACCATGGGCTCTGCCTGTATTTGTTGGCAAAAGGGTTCAGAAGTGATTATGAGAAGGGGCTACACGTGGGTCCTTTATGTTTCCTTCACACTAGGGCCATCAAGGAGAACAGACTTGTGGAGGTGCTCGCCTGGTTAAGTCAGGCACAGAGAGAGAAATCACAGGGCAGAGAAACCCTCTTTCTGATAAGATCCTCTGCCTGGACTATGTTAAAAGTTATTTCGGCTAGGGTGGGGGAGGAACTTGGTGGAACGGGTCAGATGGGTGGATCAAGAGTGGATGCTACCTAGAGACCCAGGTTGGCCATGGGCCTGTAGATACCTGCCCTTGAAGGTATCCATCAGAAGCAAAAGTTTGGAAACCAATGGCCATGTCCTTGTGTCTATAACCAGCTACGTGGGACTGGATCTCCTGATCGAGTCAGCTCCTTTGGGCTCTGCTGGATGTGGCATGACCAGCAAAGTTCAGGGTGAACTGGACACAAACCCAGTTTTGTGTGCTATTGACCTTGGAATGGAGACAGGCACCTTCCCATCCATGGAGCCTCCTTGCCTGCAGGCCTACTCTGCCAATGATAGACTCATCCACTGATAAGCCAGGCAAGGGGTAGCCTAGGTGATGCTGTCATTTTCCTCCCTGTCCCTTTGGTGCCCTCCTAGATGGCGGCAATAGTGGTTTGGTCGATAAGTCGTATCCGACTCTTGCAACCCCATGGACAGCAGCCCGCCAGGTTCCTCTGTCGATGGGATTTCCTCTTGTTTTTTCTGGGACCCAAGGACCCTCCTGCTCTTGGCCATTCCTTGCCCCTCCCCACCACCAATTGCCTACAAAGCTTAACCTCAGGCAAGAATCTGCACATCATTATAATCTTTGTGGGATGTTTTCCATCTTCTCCTCTTGGCAGAGTCCTTGGTTCAGATGGTAGAATTAAAAATTTTGTTTCCCATTTGAGGGTTTCAGGCAGCAAACTGGCAGAGGAGGACATATAAGGAACATGTCTGCATGCAGATGGCAGCTCAGCTTTGGCCCCACTGTATCCACACCCTGGGCATACACACTTGGCAATATCCGGAGACATGAGACCACAAGATAGAAATACACTTATTCTTAGAAAAGACATTTGGATGTGAAAAGCCAGTTCATCTGTGCAGATTTGGGTGAATTACATGGCTGGAACCGCAGCACGTGACGTTCAGTAACTGAAGACAAACGGAGATAATCCAAAGTCACTCTCAGCAAAGATGAGGTATCTGTCACACTTTGGATCACAGACACCTCCACATGCACTCTGCCTCGTTCCCTTCCAGTTCTGCTTCAACCTACTTTCCCAGCCCCAGTCGACACCATGCTAGCGGCTGTAGCCTGAGAAAGGAAGTGACCCTCTGAGATGAGAGGGTTTCCCTGGTGACATCCATCCAGCTGGCCACAGTGGGGGCTCGTCTGGGGCCCACACAGTCAGGCTATTGGAATGTGCCAAGATCAGCAATGATAAGGTCTTTGCACAGAATTCCTTCATCACGAGAGGCAAGCAGGCTGGACTGAGATAGATCTGAACCCAGCCCTCGCTTCTAACATCTTCAGCCAATGGAACCGAACTACACTCAGAGAATAGTCTGACTGAAGAGACAGAGGAGAGAGAAAAAGAAAGGATAAATCAAGATCATGGCTGAAAAACTTCAGATACATGTGCAAATCAGACCGAAGCAGCTATATCAGCTAAAAGGTCAAAACATCTTATAGATAAAGTCCCAGTGGCTTTGGTGCTGGAAAGTGACTCCTGCCAGAAAGCTCCACTCAGATCTACAGAGTGATGGCTTTTATCTGTTTAGCCCTACACACTCCCAAACTTTATCATCATTGTCTTCTAATTGGTCTTGATGCCAAGCTCAGGGGCCTAATGAAATTAGCAAACGCAACTCTGAATGGAAAGAAAATCAACTTGTGTTAAAGCAACTCTGAATGGAAAGAAGAAAACCAACTTGTGTTTGGCATTTGATAAAATACCTGTCCTGGAGAAGATTCTTGAGAGCCCCTTGGACTGCAAGGAGATCAAACCAGTCAATCCTAAAGGAAATTAACCCTGAATATTCATTGGAAGGACAGATGCTGAAGCTCCAATACTTCGGCCACCTGATGCAAAGAGCCAATTCATTGGAAAACCCTGATGCTGGGAAAGATTGAAGGCAGGAGGAGATAGGG